AGCAGGCGGAGGCAGCTCTTCCCTTCTGCCCCACAGCTGCTAGGGAGGAAAAGGTTGACCTTTAGACTAAATTCTGACTAAAAATCAACCTTCCCGAGGTATTTTTTCCCCTCGGTTGTTGCTGTTGGGGGGGGGAAAAAAAAGCACAAAAACTGCCCAGCGTGCGCAGCTCCTTGCCTCGTCCTCAAGAGCGTCTCCCACCCTTCACCTCAGCCATGGTGATGTTCAAGAAAGTCAAGACCTTCCTCGTGGCTTTCAGCGAGCCCGAGAAGGTCTACTGCAGTGGGGAGAAGGTGGCAGGGCGCGTGGTGGTGGAGGTGGCTGAGGTCACCCGCGTCAGCGCCGTCAAAGTGCTGGCCTGCGGCGTGGCCAAAGTCAACTGGGCCAAGGGCCCCCAGCAGTGCAAGCAGGAGATGGAGTACCTGCGCTTCGAGGACGTGCTCACCCTGGAGGAGCAGCCCACTGGTGAGGACCTGGGGCTGGGAAAGGAGGGGTTGGGGGCAAAAGGTGGTGGGGAGCGGGCGGGGAGTGGGTTGGAAGTAATCACCAGCTTTGCCTGCTGGTTGTTGCCCTTCCGCAAGGGGCTGGGTTGAGTCTCCTGGTTGTGCCCGCATTGACGGGGCTAAAGCAGAAATGCTACTTTGAAGAGTTGGCATATTTGGCTGGTGAAAGGAAAAGGGAATTTAATGTTGGCCAAGTGAACTGGTTGAACCCTTGGAAACGGATGAAGGGCAAAACAGGACTCAGCTAGGCTGCAGGTTAGAGTTGGAAAACTTAGGGCTGCTGTGCTCTATCTGGAGCCCGAAACAAAAGTGAGATGGGGTGCTTGTCGGAGCGTACAAAAGACGTTAGGCATTGATGCGGCTGGCTTGGCTTGCCCAACAGGCAGTGATGCTCTGTGCCTGCAGGGAACGAGTACTGAGATTGGCTTTGGCCGGATGTCACTGTGGCAGGAGGTGCCTCTGAGTTCAGTACAGTGGCTGGTACAGTGCACGGGACAGGTGGTCAGAGAGCGGCAAGTCCAGATCTTGTCTGAGCCAAAGAGTCTCAGTCCCTTCCCTGCCTTTATCGCCCTCCCTGTTTGGCTGGCTCTGGGGAAGGCAGAGATAAGCACTTGGCAGGGTGTCTTGGAAGATAAGTGGGGAGACGTGAAATCCTCAAGGTAAACAGATAGTTGGGGAAAGAAGTTAGTACTTTGTACTCCCAGAAAGTGGAAGTAGGATGCGGTAACCAGAGGTAACAGGGTCTGAACTAAAGCCAATCAGGACTTTGTGCCCTGGTTTCAAATGAGGATGTTGAAAGAAGAAGTGAAAGTGTAGTTTAGCAGTACTTCCCTGCCCTGCGAGGACACCAGGTTCTCAGCCTGTTCTTAGGGAACAGGTGTGGGTGGCGCTTACCAAAGAACTAATAGAGCTCTTAATGCCTGCAACACCCGGACTTCATCATAGCCTGTGTAAGCAGAACAGTGGATAATGCTTAGAGCAATACTGCTGGACTTTACCTAATATCTCTCTTCTCCTTTTCTTTTCTCAGATGGGGATGGCTCTGTAATCCTGAGACCTGGAAACAAATATGAATACAAATTTGGATTCGAGCTTCCCCAAGGGTAGGTATTAGACCAGCATTGTCTGAACAAAGTAAAAAAAAAAAAAAAACCTAACCTTAAATTCCTATGGAAAACTGTCTTATTAGCTCCAATGTGTCTAACAAGTGTGTCTTTTCATAGGCCTCTGGGTACCACCTTCAAGGGAAAGTATGGCTGCGTGGATTATTGGGTGAAGGCTTTCTTGGAGCGCCCATCCTTTCCCACTCAGGAGATAAAGCAGCGCTTTGAGGTTATGGATCCTGTTGATGTGAACACTCCAGAATTACTGGTAAGTGCCAGTTTGTTTTGCCACCTCTGAGAGGTTTGGGTGTCAGTTAGCATTAAGGGATACAAAGGTCCTTAGGTAGGGTCAGTCTGACCTCTGTGGTTAAGACTCCCCCTAATAGGCTTTACTCTTCAGCACAGATTAAATACTTAGTTCTGAAGAACTCTCTAGAAGGCTACACTGAGGCAGGTAGAAGTGAGGCACTGGTTCTGCATTCAGTTAACTGAAAGACACTCAGTCCTCATGGGGAGTGGCAGCGTGAATTTGAGGAAGCTTGAATCACAAAACAGGAGAAGGTGAAGCTCAGGGCTGGAGAGGAGGAATGGGCTGGGAACACCGGGCAGGTTTCATCTGGGTAACGATCTTATTTCTTTTCAGTCTCCAGTTGCTGCCAAGAAGGAGAAGAAGGTGTCCTGTATGTTCATTCCTGATGGCCACGTGTCAGTCAGCGCCCAAATTGACAGAAAGGGATTTTGTGAAGGTAAGAGCCTGTCTCCCCCCCTTAGAAAAGGGAAGGAGCGGGAGCAAAGGGTGAAGGGACAAGCAGTACCTGAGCAAAGGGGCAGTAGTCAGGGGATGTTTAACTAGAAGATCAGTGAAAAACAACAAATACACTTCAAGGAAAAAGTTCTGACCTTCCTAATGCAGAACATCATTCCCTCCTCAGGTGATGAGATCTGCATCAATGCAGACTTTGAGAACACTTGCTCCCGGATTGTGGTGCCCAAAGCAGCCATCATTGCCAAGCACACCTACCTGGCCAATGGGCAGACCAAGGTGTTCACCCAGAAACTCACCTGTGTCCGAGGCAACCACATCATCTCAGGCATGTCCGAGTCCTGGCGAGGCAAAACCATCCGTGTCAAGAAGCTCAAGCCATCTATCTTGGGCTGCAACATCTTGCGCGTGGAGTATTTCCTGCAGGTGAGTGTCTCTGATGGCTGCTATTGCTCCTCATGGTTAGTGGGTAAGCTTTGTCTACGGTTGGTTTCTGTCGTTGCTAACGGCATTCTGGTCTGTACCTTGCAGATCTATGTCAGTGTCCCAGGCTCCAAGAAGATCATCCTGGAACTGCCCCTTGTCATTGGCAGCCGGTCAGGCATTGTTAGCCGCAGCTCCAGCATGGCCAGTCAGACCAGCTCCGAAATGAGTTGGGTGGACTTGAACCTTCCTGATGCTCCGGAAGGTGAGTGGAGTGCGGGTGTAAACTGCCAGTGGTCCTTGGTAGACGCTTCAGACCTGCCACAGACCTGGGTCACAGGCTTGATCAGAAACCCGATGGGGCGGGGTGTTGTGGGTGAACACAAAGATCTGTATTGATCTTGGAGAATTCAAAAGCTCTTCTTTTCCTTGCAGCACCCCCATGCTATTTGGACATTGTGCCCGAAGACCACCGCCTGGAGAGCCCCACCACTCCCCTCCTGGATGATCCTGACAGCTTTGACAGCCCCATCTTCATGTACGCTCCGGAGTTCAAGTTCATGCCACCACCCACCTACACAGAGGTGAGAAGCAGTGTTGCCCTGCTGGCTGTGAGGAAGGAGGTGTGCTCGAGAGAGGGGTCAGGGACTTGGCTGGGCTGAGGAGCGCTGACTCCCTTGAAGGGGTAGCTGGCCTGTGCCACCTACACGGGAAGATGGCAGAAGAGATGACGATAGCTCGGGCAGAACTGGTTCAGTGGATTTTTGCCTCAGGAATCATCCTCAAAGTGTCTAAATGGCCTCTTTGCTTTCTTTCACAGGTGGATCCCTGCATTGCTAACAAGAATGTGCAGTGAGTGCCAAGTAGAAAGTTACTCTCCCACTTTTTCTGGACTCTAAATCTGCAGTGATTTATATCTAGCAGCAGCACAGACCAGGGTCTTAAGAGCCCTGCTGCAGGAGGAAACGGCTGCACAAAGGGCACACATCACTATAGCTCCCAGTGAGGCTCAACTCAGCGAGCGTAGAAGAGGTGAAGTGTGTGAGTCTTTGTATTCCCTCATGTGCTGACTGCCTTGACTTGTACCGAGAAGTTCTCATGTGGCTCAGGGGTTGTTTAGGACCTTGCTTACAGCCAAAGTCTTCCAGAGAAAAAAAAAAAAAACCAAAACAACAAAGGTGCTTATGTGGAAACTGGCGGAAGATCCTTGTGTGGAGCAGGGAAGGCGTAAACGCCTCAAACATCTCGGTTATGGAATCCTTAGGAGAGGCAGATTCCAGCTTAAAAAGACATCAAAAGATGTTGGTATGGCAGAAATTACCATCACGATGCCTTGAATCTGATAATACTGTCGTCAAAGGCAGATGAATACATGACCTGTTTGTACATGTTTGTTTCATGTCTGAAAAGGCACCAAAGTGTGCAAAGATTGTAACTAAACTTGTTCCTTTGATGGGGGGGGGTTATTGCTCTTGCTTAAGCTAAAGCCTTTAATCTCAAAGCTTCCCAGTGTGGAGGGCAGTGTGTCCTGCAGTGAAACTGCTGGTTGAAGCACTTGCTCTCTCCCCTTTACAAAAGGGCTACGCTGAGATAGAAAATAACGCACATCCAACAATTTAAGAAAGCAACAACCCTGTTAAGTGAAGCTACTTGTAGTCTAGTAAGTGCTACTTTGCATGCTAATCTGGTCTCATTTGCTTCTTAGAATTTAATTTGGAAGCTCAGCTCTGCAACTGAGCCAGTTTGTGTCATGTGATTATCTTCATTGTCTTTATCTTGAGTTATGTTTTCTGAACTTAGTAAAGCCATGGAAGCTAACGCTCCCAGCGTGATGGGAAGAATCACTGTCCTGTCTGTTGTACTCGATTTGCTTTTCGTAGGTAACCAATGCACCAGCCTCCCCCCAGTCATCACTTTTCAGTTTCATTGGCCTTTGCAGGACTGCAGAGGCTTTGCTGCTGGTATCCCATCAGACAAGCGAGCTGAAGGCTCCTTGTGTCCAAGCTGAATTCCCTCATGCATTCTCCTTCCTGGCTATCCAAACACAAGTCTCCCAGCAGTTCTGACCAAAGCTTCATCTTGTGGTGCCAAATTGTCCCATCTTGTGTGATGTCTAGATGTCAGGAACAGGGCTGATGTGTGCAGCCCCGACCTGAGCACAGTCAGTGAAACCAAATCCATGACTGGGGATGGCTCTTCTGAGGGAGGTGAGCGCTTCAGCCCCTTGCCCTGGGTGCATTGTGTTTGCCTGCTCCAGATGCAGGAGAAGAGCACTTTCTGTGACTGTAGGAACCCAGCACTGCGTGTCCACAGCCTCATTTCTGATGGCTCTGGCAGGGCTGAGCTCTTAAAAATCACAACAGCTGCCTCTGACTGTCAAGACACGAATCAGATATTAATGCATTCTTTTTTTTACTGTTATTTTATATTTGTTTTGGGGGGGAAGGGGAAAAAAAAATCTATATTTTGTACTGCTGAGATTCTACAAACCCCTATGGGGTGGTGTTTTTAATAAAGGTTTCTAAAACTGAAGTGGTTGCAGAGCTTTTCTGACTTGGGTGTGGAGAAGGAGGACAGTCCCCAAGCGAGCCCAGTCCCTGAACTGGGGAACTGCCATGCAACTCCAGAGCGAGAGGGCCTATGGGGTGGAAAGGGTGGATGATGGTGAAGGGCTGAGAGGGGGAAGGGTTCAGAGCCCAAAGTCCTGAGAGGAGGGAGCTGGGTACCAGGTTTAAGGGTTTTGCCCTAGCAAGAGGTACCTGTCCTGGCCTGCGCCCTCCGCGTTTCCACAGCAAACACTGCCGTAAGGTCACCTTGGGGGTGGCACAGCCTTGTGCTGTCCTTGGGGTGACGCATGTGCAGTACCTGCCCGGCTCAGGTGTGCTCAGGGGGGTGATGTTTGTGAAGCAGGAGGGACAGCCCTGCGCCCGCGCCCTGGCTGGGAAGGGGACGAGGAGCAGGCAAGGGATGCAGCGCTGCTGCCTTTGCGGGATTTTTCTGCCAGTCCCTGTCTGCCTCGTGCCTGTGAAACCACCCCGAGCTGCGGTAAAACCGCTTCAGCTCCCCTGCGCGCTCAGCTGCTGTTTCGGGGCTGGGAGCGCCAGGGCTCTGCTCTGCTCCCTCTCCCTCCCCTTAACGAGGAATGCAATCTGAGGAATGTGCCTGTGAGTGCTGGGGAGAGGGGCAGAGCCTCCCCCAGGCTGCCATCGCCGCAAGGCCCTGCAGCCCCCGTTGCAGGTATTTTGCAAACAGGGCAACCCTCCATCAGCTCACTTTCAGGTGGGGAAATAAAAATGTGTATCTTGCTCTTGCGACTTGACAGTCACCGTTCATAAGTTTGGTTTTTTTAAACTCCTTTTTTTTGGCAAAACAGGCAAAGCATCTGGCCAGGCACCTGCAGCCTAGAGCAAGCAAGAGCACAGCTCCGGTGCCTTTCAGCGGCTGCTGTGGGAGAAGCGGCGGCGCTAACCGCCAGCCGGGGATTCCCCCCGACCCGCCAAGGGGGGAACAGGCCCCCTTCCAACGGCCCACCCCGCGCC